GACATGAGGAAGTGAAAACAAAACCGCACAATCAGCACAGAACGATGTGTAACGTTCACAAGTTCACTTGTAGACCTAAGCGACAGATCACAATCAATGTCTAGTTAGTTGCCTACATAGACATCATTCATCGGGGCTTTCAAAGGCGCCTACGAGCCTCATACTTCACGAATCGCACACCCTACATGCTCTCTAGATAGGCAGCTCACTAGATTTTGAAACACCACCACAGCTGACGTCTGATCAGGCCGAGAACAGTTTCGATGATAAACGGATGCCTTATTTCATAGTTAAAAGCAGGTCTGTGAGGTTTTGGAGAGACGGACTCGACTGATTACACGCTGTCAGATGTGTTTATCCTCTGGCCAGATAAATATAAATATCTGTAAGATCGCAGGAATGTGTTCTCACCGTTCGGCTAACGTTACATCAGGGACGGATGCGCCAATAATAGAGCCATCCTCTGAGATTTATGAATTCAGTGGTCCTATGATTGAAATCCACTCGGTGAACAAAAAGATGGCACTTCAGTTCCTTTTGGCAGCGGTGATCGTTCAAATGTGGTCGAGAAAAGCCGCTAATTCCCGATAGTAACCGAGCAACAGCTCAGTTCGGTAGTAAAAACTGTCAGTGCGCGTGCGTGCCCAATCCGGAAACTCGCGTCTGCGAATGGCAAGCCGAATTAGCATTAAATACCTCTTGCTGTACTAGTCATACAGTGCGTTCCAAACAGGATATATCGCCCTCCGAAGGGCACTTCGGAGTGAAAACAATCATGGCCGCCATATTGAAGGGTCGTTCCAAACCGAAGTGCTCAAAACTGGCCACTTCAAAGGGCCCTTCGGAATGAAGGATTTCGAAGGGTACAACTGATGGACACTTCGGGCTCCCATGATCCTTTGCGCAGATTCTTTGCATGATGACGGCGCCTCCGTGTGGGCACGTGATGATGACGCAGAAGGGCACTTCAAGAAACAGTTGTTTGGTCCCCTACGAGCTCTCAGTCCGGAGGGTAAACCCTTTGAAGGGATTAGGGCATAGGGATGAGCCCTTCCGAATGGAACGCAGGGATAATTTAGTTTTGACCAAGCGGCAACCTTCTGGTCTCTGTCGTGAAACCAACACGGAAGTGACTAAAACTGCAATTCATCGACTGGCCGCTAGAGGCTGGCTCCAAAAGGGAGACAGTCCCATAGACTCCCCATGTTAAAATGCCCAACTTTACAGCAGAAAAAAATATGTTTACAGCCTGGTACAAAAAGTGGTTTTGGTCTATATCTAATTTTGCCCTTCATGACAACTGTAAGGGGGGTGAATTTTTTTATAACTCATCCGTCGAGCTTGGTGGGCGTGGTTTCAGCAACCAACTCCCACCTCTTTGCCCATTTTCGATTATCCGGGAGTGACAGGCGGTGACGCGCTGCCAAGATGTCGACGGCCGGCTCCGCCCACTTTGAGCTTCAAAAACGCTCTTCAGAAACCTACGGGTGACGTCACGGACACTACATCCATGTTTTTATATAGTCTATGGTTTTAACTAGTCAAAATTCCAATTTCAGATATCTATTCTGCAATTTTGATAGGTATCTTCATTAGACGCGTAACATTCCCAAAGATATTCAGAGATATCTCTAATTCAGTTTCGACCAGTCGCAATGAAATTTTAAGATATCTGAATTGACCGCTAGCAAAGAGCTTGATTGACAAGCGATCTGACTAATCATAACGCCGAATCCGCCGTTTTGTCTGACAAACAAACCAGATAGGAGAGTAGATTAACTTTGGTGGACTTAAACTTGAAAAGTTGGCTGTATTGACGACGTCTTTCCACGGTTGAAATAAAATACGTTCTGATGTTCATTCATGTTCATGTTGCACTTTAAGTAATGTAAATATGAAAAGACGAGCGGTTCACGTGCTGAGGCAATAGAGCAATATGTCATTAAAGAGCCACAAAACGGTATTTATTGTTTGAATTTCTTAAAAAATTACAAAATTTGAAAGCTGAGATTGTTTCATACCAGAAGTATGAAGAATAATGCTTCAGAATCAAGGCAGACCCAGTAAAAAAAAAAAAGTGAAGGCTGATTTTAAAAAGATTGCAAGGTAATAAAAGTTTAACTGGCATTAACATGTACTGATGATATTGATCAGTACATTACATTGTGTGTAGATTGAGTGTTCTCATGCATACCTTGTGTCACTTTTACATGTGCACCAGCTACATTATTTTGAATACTTGGGTATACAGTTTAAAATTAACCAAAGATGCAGGAACTTTATTATACAATTCTTAGACAAAAGGGAGGAAGACAACAGTTTCCAAGGTAGGATTGGTTAATAAAATGTTTAAGGTGGGGCTTAACAAAGGAGTATTTGCATGCATATTTTAGATACCTATAAAGGAATTTTGACTAGTCACATTGTTAATTCCAGATATCTACATTGAAATTTCTCCTAGTCACAAAACTAAATGCAGATATATCCAAAGATCTTCCTAGTCAAAAATCAGATTGAGATATCCATAATTAAAAAATAAAATATTTCCTTTTGAAGTGGACTTTGAACTTTGTAACTTTGCATATCTTTTTATGCTCAAACAGCAACATTACCGACTAACTAAAGTTGAAAAAGTGAAAAAGCATAATAGGACCCCATTAAATTTAATTTTTGACTAGTCAAACACCAGTTAGAGATATCTCGTTCAAGATATATCTCTTATTATGTTTTGCTTAGTCAAAAATGAAATTCAAGATATCTACTCTTGTAATTTGACTAGTAATAAATTACTTTCAGATATCTAATAACGTATTTTGGATATCTTTAAAAATGATGAATTAAAGATATCTTAAAGGGGTCCTATTATGCTCTTTTACAAAGTCTTGATTTTGTTTTGGGGGTGCATTAGAACAGGCTCTCATACTAGAGTATAAGATAAGGTTGTTCGAAAAACACATTATTTTTCACATATTTTACATTATTACAACACCTCTCTCCCCAGTCTGGCATGAACGGCTCGGATAGTTCCTGAATCAAATGAAGGCCCGCCTTCTGAAATACGGAATGTGCTGTGATTGGTTAGCTGGGCCAGTGTGGGCTGTGATTGGCACCACTCGGCGCCTGGTCGGGAAATGTCACGCCCCTTACCACCATAGCCGCCTGCGAGCTAAAGTGAAAAAGCATAATAGGACCCCATTAAATTTAATTTTTGACTAGTCAAACACCAGTTAGAGATATCTCAAATTATAATTTTTACTAGTGGTAATTCAGTCAGAGATATCTCTAGTTTAATTATCACTAGTAAAATTGTAATTTGAGATATCTCTAATTAGAATTATGCCTGGTACAAAATCAATATCTTTAATTACAATTTTACCAGTCAAAACTCATTTGTAGATATCAGAAAATATTTTCCAATGGAAGTCAATGGAAGAATATGATATCTCGAATGTATATGACTAGTCAAAACATTGTAGATATCTTCAATGCATATAATGACTAGTCATAAACACATTGTAGATATCTTAATTCCAATTACGACGACTCGAAATTGCAGAATAGTTGCAGACTAATCAAAACTAAATTATGACTATTACAGCATGGGGTATTTAATGCTAAAACGGCTTGCCATAGAATCTGCGTCTACACTGCTGCTCTGACGTCATTTTGCGCTTCCAATTCGTCACTAATAAACATTGCGTGTTGTGGAAAGACTTTTCCTTATTCATTATTGAGAATATTGATAAAGAATGTTCTTTACTTTGGGAAATGTTTTGTTTGGATTTGTTAATTGGAAAAAAGTGCACTATCTTGTTAACAAAATTTGATATACATAAATGTAAGTTCTCAAGTTAGAAGCCACTTTTCTATTTTTCACGTTTTGCTTGCTGAAATACAGCATTACTTTGGGACTATTTCTAACTCACATAATAATAAGTCTTTAAAAACAATTGAAATTTGTAAGTTCAATCTTTTCCTTTGAATGTGAGGTTTTAATTATATACCCCTGTATTTTTTATATTTTTGTATTGTAACTGTTTCCTTATTTGTTGACATAATATTCTCAATAAATAAATAAAAAATAAATAAATAAACATTGGAAGTTAATTCAAATCACATTCTCTTAGAAACATAAAATATGTATTGTTATAAAAACATAGGATAGATGTACACTACCGTTCAAAAGTTTGGAGTCAGTAACATTTTTTAAATTAATACTTGTATTCAGTAGCGACATTGATCATTAAAAAGTCACAGCAATGACATTTATAATGTTACGAAAGATGTCTGTTTCAAACAAATGCAGCGCTTTTGAGCTTTCTATACTTAGTATAATCCTAAAAAATAAAGCAGTTTCAACAAAAATATATAAAAAAACTTTTCTCCATTCATATCAGAATGATTTCTGAAGGATCACGTGACACTGAAGACTGGAGTAATGATGCTTTCAGCTTTACGTCACAGGAATAAATGACATTTTATTGTAAGAATAATTTCAAAATATTATTTTACTCTATTTATTCTTTTACAAATAAATGCAGCTTTGTTAAGAATATGTGACTTCTTTCAGAAACAATACATCAACCTTAAACTTTGAAAAACCATTTTATTTTCTTTAGTTTCTGGCAGTGTTTATAACTCATTAATATGGCTATGTACTTAAAACTACAGATTTGAATATACTATACCCTTCAAAATTATAATAATAATCATATAAAATAATATTAATATTAATAATGAAAAAACATCTGAGTGAGCATCTCACTTATCAAAACAAAGAGTACAGAATATACTTTATTTGACATCATAATTTGTAGTTTTATTAGAATAATACATTGTACAGACTTTAGAAACTCAAAAAGGCCACTCTTAAAACTTTCTTTAAAAAAACAAAAATAGACATGCCATTACAAACATGAATAAGGGCTTTTCATAAAGACTCAGTAGGGCTTATTACAATGCAAGGACACACATGTACTGTATCGGATGGCTTTCTTTAGTGGATAGTGATTAAGCCATTTTAGTGGCTGCTTGTGCGGAGCGGTCGGTCACTGTGCCGGCTCCGGCCTCCTCTGAGCTGAAACACAGAGAAAAGAAAACACTAGATAAACACTCAATAAAAGAAACATTCCCTGTTTTTACAAGGTCATAATCAATAATGAAAACTGTTACAAGGAAAAGAGCAGTGAAAGATTTTTATTTTAAAAAAATACAATCGATACAATAAATACTTCATTAAAAAAAGTCTGAATGAATCAATGATAGATGGACTGATTTAATTATTCAACAGTATGTTTTGACATCTTTTAAGTCTAGCTTTGGAGATTTAGACAGAAAGGTGACATTTGATTGACATGTAAAACAACCAACCACAGTCTGTTTTTTATGTGAACTTCACAAATAAATATTGTATTTCAACAACAACAACAACAACATAATTATATTAAAGCAAACAGTGGTGCTGCTGTCTCAGTGAAACTTTGCAAAGACAAAAATGTTGTGTCTTGTTTAGCTTATCTAAAAGGGCCTCAAACTAAATCCCTGAATAATTAATAAATTAAATAAGGGCCTAATTCTATGAAGTTCACATCAATAAACTGCACAATTTTTGCACTGAATCCGAACTCCAAGTAAGTGTTGTCAAGATACTGCAATTTCGCATTTCGGTAGCTTGAAAAATATTTAATACCATTTTTGATAACAGAGAGAATAATTGCCACAACATTAAAATTAAACTTTATTAATAAAGTAGCTTTGAAATTATAATAACAACATATGAATATATTATTTTTAACATCTTTTTAACTATGCATATATTTATTTATTAGTGCAGTTGTATTACAATAGTAATATATTTATGTCTCATATATACAGTGGGTACGGAAAGTATTCAGACCCCCTTAAATTTTTCACTCTTTGTTATATTGCAGCCATTTGCTAAAAACAAAATAATGTCAAATTCTAAATTTATATTTAAATTAGTATATTATTTTACTTTACACAGCAGCACTAAAATTATAATACTTAGGTTTTTATATATTTACTTGCAAGAGGTAAATCCGCAAGCTTTTATTTTGGAGAAAAACTATTGGTATTGTTGTATCAATACTGCATAAAATGAGTACTGAAACCCTTTCAAATGTTTCAGTATCAATACGTATAGAAATCAATTCGGTATTTTTGGCAACACCACTCAAAGTATGAGCAATAATAACAGTGATGCTTGCCTTATCAAACACCATTAACTAGTGACGTTTCAGAAATAACTAGAAAAGCGTAAAGGAACCTGTGTCAGAGACTGTAAGTCGACTTAGTTCTCTGTCCAGCTCCTCATCTGTGATGCCTAGACTGGAATCAGGCACAGAGGGCAGAGACCGGACAAAATCAGCATCCGGGATACCCGTTTTCCTTGGAGAAATAGGATGCGTCGGGACCACTGGGAGCACGTCGTTATCTGGGATGGTTTTCTCCAATAATGACTTCAGCTCCTCTTCAAACTCCTCTGAATCCTCACCTATGAGCACATGAAGCATTCGTTTTTAAGGCAGCTTTATGGGAAAGACCGTTCCAGCTCAACTGTGAAAGCGTGAAGGTATTGTCATTCATTAATGAACAGTAGAAGCCTGTAAGGCAGAAATACCAATCATATGGCCACGACTCGGCTCGGTACGGCTCAGTACGGCACGGCACGGTTCGGCTTGGTTTGCGTTTCCACTGCAGTTCAGTACCGCTTTAGAGTGGGCGGGATTATTCACATGTCGTTATAGTTGCGCCGCCTCTACTACCACGACTCCTAAAAAAAACGTTTTCATTCCGCGTCGCCCCATCAAGCTCTCGCTGGATCCGCTCCTCTGCTATCAACGAGAGGAACGTCTGTACTTCCGCAACAGACAACAAAACTTTTTGGTTGTTAAAAAAAAGGTGTGCTCGTTCAAAACAGTTGCGTTCGATCCTTCGCTGGCTGTGCTTTTTTAAATCTAGCGGTTCTTTTGTGTTTGTGTCGCAAGTTCAGTGACACAGGTAGTGACGATTCTCTCCGGCCAATCCGTGATCAGCAGAGTTTACACGTCACGTTTTGGTAACGGTACGGTTCACTTGGAACCCCAACCGAAGTGGTACTAAAAAAAGTACCAGGTACCAGGTACTGTACCCAGTGGAAAACCCCCCAAAAGTGAACCGTACCGTGCCGTACCATGCAGTGGAAAAGCGCCAATAGTAAACTAATCACACTCATCATTCCACACCCATGAAAAGTTCTCATGGTCCGCAGACAATGCTGAATTCATGATATACAGAATTCATCTGGGAGATGCATATAGTCTAAAACAAAGTGAAACTTGTATACCAGAATCCAACGCCCCACTGGCAAGAGTCTGGTTGACTTCATCCTGAGTGTCGCATAACTGTGCAAAAAAAACAAAAACAAATGGGAAATAAAGAACTTTTATATAATGTATAATTATATTCTAACTAATAAAACATAAACAATGCAAGTTTCTGATGAATCACCTCCTGTATCTGATCAACCAGGTTCTCTGCTCGCTCCACAGTCACACCCTTCAGTGAGATTCTCAGAGCCGCCACACCTGCCTGGTATGCCTGCATCACCTGCTCACACATATGAAAACATTTCATTAAGCCATGCATAATGGATATGCTTCAATGTTTTAATGTGACATCTGTGGTGTGCATCAACAAGCATACAACTTATAGTTTCCTGGTAAATTATAATAAACACTCTCTACATTATGAAAACTGGCAACACAAGAAGCTTCTCTCAAAAGCTAAACCTGTGAAATTTTTAATATTAACTAGGGCTGCAGGATAAATCACATGCGATATTTAACGCGCATCTTAAGTTAATATTACTTGTGCGCTATGTTTTAGATGTTCTGTTTGGAACAAAAGCAAAAGTATGTATTTTAAAGAGTGTTACATACAGCTCTCTTCCATACAATAACAGTTCATTGTGATTATTTCATCTGTCAAGCCACAAAAACACCATATGACTAATGAGCTTAATTCCAAGGAGGAAGAATAATAACTTCAATTTCAGTCACACAAAGCTTTTGTATGACTTGATTTGGAAGAACTGGAACATATTTCATATGTCATTGTATGGACAAGAGGAACATCCTTAGAAGTTTCTAACCCATTCATTCCAAATTATGTTAGTGTTTTTGGTTTAAAGCAACAAAAAAATGACTTTGTATTGTGACACGGAGGTTGCATAAGTGCATTTATTCAGCAACCAACCGCAATCGCAAACAATAGAGATCCATGTCTAGATTTACTCATCAGTGAGAAGGTTTGAAACAGCAAACAGCGCAAACGGCTGCGTAGAGGAACACAGACTAACTCTACTGCACTTTTACAGATCACTGAACTCCAACTTACATGTTTGCTGGTGTTTTCAAACGCATGCGCTTTTTCCGCAGTGTAAGAGAGCGCATGCGAATGGCTGGCAGATTGGGGAGATTAAGTAAAACTGGGGGGAACAAATGTGTCTATTTAAAAGAAAAGCTCAGATTGAAGGATTTAAACTCTTGACATCTGGCAACCCTTAACAAGCCTGCTCGTGGAGATAATGCAAATGTCAAATTATGAAGAAGAAAAAAAAGACAGACGTGGTGAAGTGTGGGTGACGTTCACTGCTGATGGCCAACAGCATGTGTTGACACTCACAGCAGACCGTCAGTGCATCTGTGTGTGTGTGCATCTCACCAGGCGGTCAGTTTGGGAGTTTGCTATTCTGTCCAGGATCCCCTTGACCGTCTCGAGCTGAGCAAACAGACGATCTGCTTTCTTCTCCACCCGCTTGCTCCCACGTAAACATCTCAGGGCCTGTGACAGGAAAAAGTGGGAACCATTAAAACACTTTTCTCGCCTATTACAATAAATAGGCACAAAACACAAAAGTGTGCTCATACCTGTGATTTCTTTCCCTCTTTAAGCAGCGATTTTGCCTGCTGCTTACACCTGCACATTAGACAATGCATTATTTAGCTGCAGCGCCATTGTAATTACCAATCATGTCACAAAAATGACACCTGACCGGAATAACATCAATACAATTTGGATGAACTGGCTCACTTTTCTGCTTCCTGTCCCAACGCCTCCACCCTCTCCTCCAGAAGCTTCTCGCTGCGCTGGAGCTGATAGATGCCCAGGTCCACCTCGCTGACGGAAGACACACGGCCCTGTCCTGCCTGACTAAACTTCACCAGCTATACATGGACATGGTCAAAAGTTTCATTAGAACTGAGCAATCTGAAACCAAACAAGTGCTAAAAGTTACTAATCACCCAATCAGTTGCATGTGATTTTAGTGACACATTTAGAGCACTGATTATTAATACTTAAAGGGGTCATATGATGTTGCTAAAAAGAACATTATTTGGTGTAATGCAATGTCTTAATACGGTTTAAGGTTCAAAAAACACATTATTTTCCACATACTGTACATTATTGTTTCTCCTCTATGCCCCACCTTTTTGAAACGCGTCGATTTTTACAAAGCTCATCGGTCTGAAAAGCGAGGTGTGTGCTGTGATTGGCCAGCTATCCAGTGCGTTGTGATTGGCCGAATACCTCAAGCATGTGACGGAAATGTTACACCCCTTACCATACTGTGATGCC